CACCTAAAACTAATAGTGGGAATCAACTATACTTCAATAAAAAATTAAGAATAAAAAACAAAAAAAATGTCAATAGACAAAGATAAAATAAAAGTCACCAGGAATGCTTACCACATCCAAAGGCTGAAAATCTGAATAACTTTGGCCCGAGTATGTAAGTAGTATGTTGAGGAATTTATTTCATTTCCAAGTGCATAGCAAGGAGCGGCTGGCTGTTAATACAGGCACTCTGCTCTGGAGGTTTAATTACCTGGGCAGTATACATAGACGGCAGCTTTATGAACATGGTGGCAACCAGTCCTGTCCATACATTGTGATATTTTCCAAGCCAGACTTAAAGACTGGGTCAGAGATTCCTAGTGTACCCCATTTCACACGGCCACACCCAGGGATCAATCCCTTCCAAAGGGACCAAAGGAAACGGACATTAGGCTGCGTTGACAGTCAAAACCCAGATGATGTGACGTCTGTAGATATTCAAAGCTTTATCAACTAAAATCAGTGATATGACCGACAGCCAACAAGATGTGAATTCTACTGTACCATTTCACCTCCTTCTTCTCCAGTGACCATCTCAGTGGACAGAGAACCTGAAGGTCCAGCTGGCTGACCCTTGAGCGGCTGTCTTAATTTGAGTTTTCAGAAACAGACCCCGAGGCAAGGACTGGGAAAGGGTCCCTTATCTGAGAGGTAATCCCAGGAGCACTGGAAGGGGTGGGGTAGTGACACAGGGAAAAGAACAAAGCCAATAAAGGTGTGGAATGAGCGGGTTCCCACTGTGGGCAATGGGCTCAGTCCCCCAGGAGACTGGGAAACTCACCTCTGAACTGTCGGGACGAAGGGTGGGCCAGCCAGGGACTCAGTCACCCCCTCCTGTCCCCCAGTGGCGGAGGGTCGCCCCTGGGGTGCTAATGCCCACACTTCTGGACTGTGCCCCCTGCCACTGCAGACGTTCCCAAGCCAGACAGATGCAGGAAGCTGCCAGCAGGCTCAGCATCTCTATGTGACATTGAGGGCGGCCTGGGGGGATGGACAGGGCACCAACATCTAATGGGAAGTGGCCACCTTCACCCAGAGACTCCGGCTCTGCGTCTGTCTCCTGAGAGACAGCGGTTCCCTGACTGTCCTTGGGAGGGAAAGAATGAGCCTTGGACACAGAGCACCTGGCTCTTGCCCACACCTGCCGCGGGTGGGCTGCGGGTCTCTGAAGTCGTTTAGCCTCAGCAAGGGTGAGTTCCCCCCTGACAGAGGGGCGATCGGACCAGGTTATCTGAGGGTAAAATAAACAAAATCCAAAAGGCTGTTCCGAGGCTCCCGTGAGCTAGTGCAGGGACCTCCCGATTCACTGTATTTGCATCCTGTGCCTGTGATTTCTGCAACATCCAAAATCTTCTACTATTACTCACCCTGTATTTTTTTCAAATTGATTCATGTTTATTGACATGCATTTAAAAAGAAACTTTTTTTTTAATGTCACCTGCTATAGAGAAAAGGTAGTCATAAAAATAAATTCACAGCTATTAAAAAGCTGTTCCCTGGGCTTCCCTGGTGGTGCAGCGGTTGAGAGTCTGCCTGCCGATGCAGGGGACGCGGGGTCGTGCCCCAGTCTGGGAGGATCCCACACGCCGCGGAGCGGCTGGGCCCGTGAGCCATGGCCGCTGGGCCTGCGCGTCCGGGGCCTGTGCTCCGCGACGGGGGAGGCCGCAGCGGTGAGAGGCCCGCGTACCGCAAAAAAAAAAAAAAAAAAAGGTGTTCCTCCACGCACTCCCACTCCACCAGGGGTACGCAGCCACTTCCCGAGAAAACTAAGCTGGCGTCCATCACATCGCGTGACCTGTAATAACAACTGTAACAGGCAGGTCACGTGCATTATTATGTCATTTAACTCTCACCAGGCATGCAGACGGACACCTGCTCCTATGGTGGTGGGAACTAGCATTGTTCCCATTTTCCAGACGAAGAAGCTGAGCCTCAGAGAGGGATACTGAGCGACAGCGTGAAGGGTCTTGCTAGCAGGCTACCCTCCTGTTGTGGATGGCACAGTTCTTGTGGGGAGAAGTGTCTTTCCCTGGACCCGGGAACAGCCACGCCGATGTGCTGCCCCCGCCCGCCCGCGTGCTTGGTCCCATCTTTCCCCAGAACCTTCGTAACATTCTCACGGGACTCATACCCCAATTGTCCACACGCTACATCACAGTATGACGGGGGGAAATGGTGGAATGCCTCTCCCTTATTTTTCATTTTCTTTCTACTGTCTTATTTTTCTACTGGGAATAGGCATTGCTTTTGTAATAAGAGAGAAAAAAAAAACCCAGAAGATTTGAGCTTGTTTTTAGATCCAGTGTCACTTGCCACCAAAGGTAAAAAGGACTAAGTTCTTTCTCTCTCTTCTTCAAGGAATGCCCAGGATGGTACCACGTGAGCAACAACCTTAGGGCCCAGTCCAGAGAAAGCCCTGCTTGCAGGGAGGACAAACAGTCACAAAGCAAAACGAGGTGTGCTGCGGAGGGGCTGAACTGGCACCTAAGGCGAAGAGTGTCAGGTGCCCCTGTTCCTGAAGGCCTCGGCCGATGGACAAGACGGCAGCCCCACCTGCCAGCCTGGAATCGCCACCAAAAACACAAATGGGGGTGAGCCACAAGTGTCAGCTGAGAGCTGAGTGAGGGCAAATGCTAATAAGGCCCCACTCCACGCAGACTTCCAGCAGGCCTTGGGTCCTTGAAACCCAGCTCAGCACACGGCCAGTCATGAGCTGTGTGCTTAGGGCTCCGCTGCAGGACACCCTCCCCGCCATCTCTGTGCTCACTTCTGTGTGCCCATCTGTTCCATTGGCCTGAGACAGTCCAGCTTCTAACAGTCGACCTGCGTAATTACTGACAGCATCAGCTTCACACAGTGTCCCGAGCTGGACAATACATTAGATGCTCACACAGAGATGGTCACAGAAATATCATACAGTCAGTAACATACACAAAGCAATATTCAGTGTCCCTAGAGTGTAGTTCTGACTTTCCCACCGACTAGCGGAATAATCCTAGACAACAGACGTTGGACGAAGCCAGGAAATTAGTGGCAAACACTCCGAGCTAACCCTGAGCTAACCCTGACTGTCTGAAGTTGCCTGGGGTTCCTGTGGAGAAGAATCTTATTTTTTTTTCATTTATTTTATTGAAATATAGTTCATTTACAATGTTGCATTAATTTCTGCTGTACAGCAAAGTGATTCGGTCATACACATATATACATTCTTTTTCACATTTTTTCATGGTTTATCACAGGATATTGAATACGGTTCCCTGTGCTGTACAGTAGGACCTTGTTGTTTATCCAACCTATATATACTAGTTTGCATCTGCTAACCCCAAACTCCCAATCCATCCCTCCACCACCACCCCCTCCCCCTTGGCAACCACAAGTCAGTTCTCTATGTCTGTGAGTCTGTTTCTGTTTCATAGATAGGATCATTTGTGTCATACTTTAGATTCCACATATAAGCAATATCATACGATATTTGTCTTCCTCTTTCTGACTTACTTCACTGAGTATGATAATCTCTAGGTCCAACCGTGTTGCTGCAAATGGCATTATTTCATTTATTTTATAGCTGAGTAGTATTCTGTTGTATATAAATACCACATCTTCTTTATCCATTCATCTGTTGATGGACACTTAGGTTGTTTCCATGTCTTGGTTATTGTAAACAGTGCTGCTATGAACACTGGGGTGCATGTATCTTTTTGAATTAGAGTTTTGTCCGGATGTATGACCAGGAGTGGGATTGCTGGATCATACAGCAACCAGGTGGAGAAGAATCTTAAGGCCACATCTGGGCGCAGCAGGGAAGGGTGATCGATTTTATCAGCAATGAGGTTAGGGGTGGGGAACGGGGAAGGGGGAAGGCAGCCAGGTACCCTGAACAAGCAACCCTTTAAATAACCAGTTCCCATAGGTCCTTCCCCTCTGATATCTGAGCTCTGAAATAATCAGAAAAGGATAATGCTTACAGCTCTTTGCCATCCCTGGTTTCGTCCAACCTCTGTGGTCCACAGTTATTCTGCTATCTGGTAGTCAAGTTCTCCTGGCTACAGCAGAAAATCCAATCAGTTAGGATGGTGATGGAGGATCCAAAGAAGGAAACTGCCCCTGCAAAGAACAACTCCACCCAACCTCTGCAGGAGGGTCTCCAGCAAGAAGCTAAGAATCCTGGTGCCTCGCACATGGCGACTGTTCATGCTTCAAGTGTGAGGAGCTTGAGGGTAAAAGGAAATTTCGTCCTCTATTCTCTTGAGACTTTCCCTGGGGAGGAGTAATCTCAAGACTCTTAGCCAACAGGATAAGGTAGCATTGCATCCAGATAACCACCGTCCGGAGCAAGTTCCCTCCTAAGTTAGGTGCAGACAACAGCCAGTCCCTGTAACGCTGGCCCGTTTTGATAGCCAAGCAAACCAATGAGCTTAACCGTCTAGGGATCTCTCACGAGCTCATTTAGCTTGTGGTAGAGGAGTGTGTGTGGGTGTGTGCATTCACTCACAAAGATTTAGTTGAAATTACAAAGTCAAGAAGGAGAGTGACACACAGACATAGAGAACAGACTTGTGGTTGCCAAGGGGGAGGGAGGTGGTGGGGGAGGGATAGAGTGGGAGTTTGGGGTCAGCAGATGCAAACTAGTGTATATAGGATGGATAAACAACAAGGTCCTACTGTAGAGCACAGGGAACTATATTCAGTATCCTGTGATAAACCATAATGGAAAAGAATATGAAAAAGAATGTATATATGTGCATAACTGAGTCACTTTGCCGTACAGCAGAAATTAACACAACATTGTAAGTCAACTATACCTCATTAAAATAAATTTTTTAAGAAAGAAGGAGAATGACAGCAAAAGAAATAGGGGAATCCTGGAAGAACACAAAGAGGCAGCGCGCGAAACAACCGTTCCGCCGTTTAGCTCCGTCTTGCCGTGAATCTACTCAAACGCAAGGACGGGCTCAGCTCACCTTGTTTAGCCGTTTGAGCATGTCTTTCAGCAGCAGCTGACACTCACACTCATTTTCATACCTGCAGATGGGACACAGAAGGGAGAGTTGGGCAGCTTCCGTGATCCGGTACGTGTGGTCACACAATCAGCATTCAATTAACCTGAGTCCTACCCCCTCTCATTAAGGGAAGCAGGAGCTGAGGCTGCATTTTGGAGCCCACTCCTTCCCAACCTTCTGCACATCCCTGCACATGCAGGAAGTGCCGCCAGTGGCCGCATAGATGGACAGGAGCCTCCCGGCCCGGAGTCCCAGCCCCAGCACCCCAGTGCCCCCTCCCAGCCACTCGAAGATGCAGGAATCAGATCCCAGCACACCTGTACCCCAAGTGCGGCGGCAGCACAGAGACTGGGAGGCTGTACTAACGATCTGTTACATCAAACAGCACTAACCTGACCTGGTCCGGATACCCTATACTATTGTATTTATCATCACGTGTCAGCTTTTCTGGGTTACGCCATTTAATCCTCACAAAATCCTGGAATACAGCAGTTCCTGTTACCCCCTCGGGAAAGACGAGGAAACCGAGGTTGAGAAACTGGCCCGAGGCCTCCGCAGGTGCTCCTGGCACTTCACCGGCATCTGTGCAGCCTTGCCCTGCACACCAGGGGCCTCCTGTGGGCTGGCAGGCAGAGCAGGCTGGACGGCTCAGAGAGTCAGTGCCTCTGGGAGCAGCCTGCAAGCTCTGACAGGGCGAGTCGGTACGTACACACCCTGGCTCCCTGGTCCTCAGCTGGGATCACTGAGGTGTGCTCTCCACCCCGCAGGTGGCCTCCAGTGGCCATGCAGGTAACTTGCCGGGTGACGCACTCAGTGTTGGCTCCTTTCCCTTCCTGCCTATAACCTCCTCACTCCGCAGCTGGTGCTCCCTGATGCCACCTCCCAAATAAGCGACTTTCTCAGGCTCGGTTTCAAGGACTCCAAACTAAGAGAGGGGTGCAGGACTCAGATGTGAGTCTGACAACAAAACTGTGTCCTGACAGCCACACCATGCTGCCTGGGTAGAGCAGGGACACCCTCAAAGTTAAACATACACAAGATTAATAAAGCAGCAGATACTAGGAGCAGGTGTATTTTTTTCCTCCTAGTCGACTTCTTCCCTGGACTTCTAAAAAAATGGTAAAGATCAAGGAAGCAGAGAGACCCCAGAAATCATTCTGGTCAAAACGAGTTTCCTTCTAGGGGGAATTTCACCCCCTGAAGAAAAAGAGAAAGCCCCTTCCCAAATGACCCCTGACCTCATTCCCTGCAAGCTGTCCCCAATATCCATTCTAATAGGACTTAGAGCCCGTCATGTTTGGTGGCCACAGGGCTGCCTAGAAGGGAGACTGCATTTCCCAGCCTTCCTTGCAGCTCAGAGTGGTCCTGACCAATGGGATGTAAGCATGTCTGTGGCCCCTTCCAGGTATCTGCGGTACGAGATGGTGCAGGTGTGTCCTTCTGCATCCCTTCCTCCTGCACCTGAAACAGGGATGCCACAAAGCATCGCTTTCTGTGTCCCTGTACACCCATGCCATGGGTCAAGTCAAGGACTTTATACTGTGACAGGTGCTGGGAAATCGTGCCTCAGAATGAAAAGTCTTGACTTCAGGGAAGAACATGAGGTATAGGAACATTGTTCTAAGTGTTTCCAGTTCCAGAGCCACCTAAGCAGCTCAGCTATAACCAGTAAGCAAAATATATTTGCATCAGTTTTACCTTTCACACCAGGATGTCACATTTAACAGTTTCTTTTCTGTGTGCCTCTAATGGAGCCAGAAATGATGTTTTTTAATGTTTAATTAGCTTTAAGAATAAAACTGTTAACAAAATCTAATTTTCTCATTGCTTCTTCCTGCTAGAAACATCGAAGAATTTCTGTAGCTTAAAAACATATTTAATAAACAACATATTAATGTGATTTTCATGCTTAGACAAGCCTAGATATTTTATTACAGATGAGTGATTTCATTATAAAGAATTCATTGTAAGAATTCATGATATATTCATATATTCATAGAACTGAATATAAAAGTGAATTCATAAAGTGGAAAAAACCACTTTGGCTTCAATTACCTGATTGTTTTACAGGATTATTTTTGGTTTTCAGCGATTTGGATAATTGACTCTATTCATCATTGTATTTTGGTAGTTTTGTTTTTATTTTATTTAGTTTTTATTTTATTTAGCCTTTGTTTGATGTGCTGAAGACCTGATTTTGAAATCATTCAACTACCCAGGTAAAGAACATACCTAACAAGGCTGCATACACCTTCCTACTTCTGCATTAATTTCACCTGGTTCTGGCTAATCATCACCTCACCCCTGGAATTAAACCAAACTCGGTGTGTGTACCCATGCATGTAGATGGGTATGATTTTTATAATGATTTTCAAGTCCCACTACTCAAGTTAAAACATCAAAACTTCTCCAAGGGGGCAATGGGAGGGAATAAATTAAAGAGAATTATCAAATAAATCACAGCGCCTGAAGGGTCGGCTCCACGATGGACATACAACTCAGAGCCAAGTGAAATCAGCAGGACTCATCATGGCCACTCCTCCAACGAGGGCTCCTGGGAGTCATGCCGGCCCAGCCAGATCACAGCTGACTGTGGCCCAAGGACCAGGTAAAGGCCATTTGGGGATCGGAGGTACTCTGATGACCCATGGAACTGCCCTGGGTGTCAACCAGCATTCACTTCCATTCTCTTTAGGGAACATAGCTTAGTATGAATGAAGTCCTACGTTTGGGCCTCACTCCACAGGAGTCCAAGAACAGCTTCTCTCTAAGACACAGTGTTCTGGAAAGGGTATGGGCCTAGGGTGAAAAACCCAAGTTCAAGTCCTGCCACCCACAGGCCCTCTGCAAGCCTCAGTTTTCCCTTGAACGGCCACAGGGATTTTCAGGTTCATTCGTCCAGCTGCAAACCTATTTCTGTGGATCAAAACCAGAAACAGGGATTTCCCTGGCGGTCCAGTGGTTAGGACTCCATGCTTCCACTGCAGGGGGCACGGGTTTGATCCCTGGTCGGGGAAATAAGATCCCACATGTGCAATTTGGCCAAAAAAAAAAAAAAAAAAAGAAAAGAAAAACAGAAGGACTGATGGGAATGGAATCGGTGCTCATGATCTGATAAATATGCTCAGTACCCAATGCTGAATATCCTGCCCACGACTGGGGTTGAGAATGCGGAACTCAAACACAACGCACTTGTGAAGAAAACCCTCTGGCTACCCTAGACCAGAGGTCCTCAAACCTGGCTGTTCACTGCAATCACCAGTGGAGCTCATTAAATATAAAAAACCTGGGCCCCACTTGAGGTCCAGGATGGGGCCTGCACATCTGTATTTTTTAGTTAATTTATATAATTTTTAAACAGATAAATCTCTTACATGGTTAGAGACTTTTTTAAATGACAGAAAAAGGTAAAAGTCTCCCTCTCACCTCTGCTCCTACTTCCTTATTCCCAGAGGTAACCAGTGTTATTAGGTTTCTGTGTGTGTGCTTGTGTCGTCTTTTTTCTTATGCAAGCAAAACCTCTCTACTCTGACCTCCGTCTTCTTAAAATAGATGATAACACACTACTTTTTTTCACAATTGCACAGTATTCCATTGCATGAATGAAGCACAATTTTATAATCTGACTCCTATTAACAGGCCTTCAGGTTGGTCCCAGGCCTTTGCTATTGCAGATCACGCTGCAGTGGATATCCTGGTGGACATGCCCTTTGACACCTCCTGGAGTGAGTATCAGAGGGTAAATTCCCTGAAGTGCCCAGCTGAATCAAAGCGCACACCCTTTTATCACCTGGAAAGATGCTGACAAGTTGCTGAGCATCTTTTTTCTTTGAATAGCTTTTTGGGTGATTTTAACACATTATTCAGTCTGTCAAAAGGGGGGACATTGCCCAGGAGCAGGACCTCTGAAACTTCAAGGTCGTTAACTTAAACGACGAATCACCTGGGGGTCTTTTTCAGAGTCTGATTCAGGAGCTCTGGGGTGGGCCCAAGAGTCTCCATTTTTAACAAGATCCTGGGTGATGGCAATGCTGCTGGTCCATGGATCACACTTTGAGGGGCCAGACACTAGCAGGCACACGCTGAAGCAATGTCCAGGTGTCCGCTGTGATGCAGTGAAGGCCGTTAGACTTAGCATGCTCAAGACTTGAATTCCAGTCCCAGTGCAGCGATCCACCAGCTGAGTGACCTTGCCCCCAATCTCTACATTGTCTGAACCTCAGTCTCCTCATCTGTAAACTGGGTGCAGTACCGTCTATAACAGGATGAGGCTGTGAGGATTAAATAACATCGACACATCTCAAAAACACTGTGCTGAGCGGAAGGAGCCAGACACATAAGAATAGGTCTAGAAGATTCCAGAACAGGCAATAGTAATCTATGGTGACAGAAATCAGAACGCTGGGTGCCTCTGCTTGGGGGGACTGGGGAGAGGGAAGCAAAGGCTGGGAAAGGGCAGAAGGTAACTTTCTGGGGTAGAGGAATATCTTGCTTGTTTTAGTAGTTACATGGGTATCTGTTAATACATTCGTCAAGCTCACTGAGCTACACACTTAAAATCTGTGCATTTCATTGCACGTAACTTAGATCTAGACTCTAAAAGACATTAACAGCAAATTACACGATTTCATGCAAACCGTGACGTGCCACCAAAATGGAAGCTAGTCCTATCTTAGGGAGATGCAGCACGTGCGTGCCTCTGCCGGGATGAAGTCACCGGTCGCCTGGGCCCGGAGACGGCCCTCCCACCTCCGGGGGCAGCGCTCTCCCGGCCCGCGCTGCCTCTTTACTCCCACGGCTGCGCTTACTTGCTTCGGAACTCGCAGAGGGCGCGCTGCGCCTCTGCTCCCTGGCGCTCCAACCGGGTGCGCTCGGCGGCCAAATCCCGGGCGCGCTGGCGGTTGCCCTCGACGTGGCGGGCGAGGGCATCCTCGGGGCCGGCCAGCTCGTCCAGGCGCTGGAAGGCGTCCAGCTGCCTCCGCAGGACGGCGTGGCGCTGCTCGAGCGCCCGGGCCCGCTGGACGTGGGCGGCCACGCGCTCGCCGAGCCCCTGCAGCTGCGCCAGGCTCGGCGCAGCCGCCCGGCTCTCCACCAGGCTGTCCAGCTCGGCGGGGTGCGGCGCCTCCTCGGCGCGCTCGTACTGCTCCTTGCGGGCCTGGAAGACGTAGCTGCGCCGGTACATGACTCCTCTGCGGGCGAGCGTGCAGCCGGCTCCCAGAGGCCCCTCGTCGAGACAGCAGCGCGCTAAATAAACATCGGAGGCCCCTGGCACGCCGCTGGGACGTTCCAGAGCCGATCAGCTGTTGCTCAGCGCTGCGCCCAGCCTCGGGCAGAACAAAAGAGCGGTCGGCCTGCTTTTGTGCGCTGGATTAGCGGCCCATACAGCTCTGGGGGTTGGAAGGTTACATTGGGCAATGTGGTTTTTGTTCCGTGATTGTTAAAGCCCGTTGTTTTGTGAGTAAATGGAGGGTCAGGAGGACAGGAGGGGCATGCCTTTCTTTTGACTGCTTCCACTGGGAATTGTGAAGGAAGCCCAAGGGAGCTTGTTAAACTTGGACTAGTCGGAGAGCCCAAGGACCCCTGGCTTTGTCTCTTCTCTCTCTTTCAGTCAAGCTCTCAATGCCAGAACTTTTTAACAATACCATTTTCTTTTCTGATTACTTAAGCAATTCTTTTTCGTAATTGCAACATGACATTCAGGACCCCTCCTTATATTAGGGGTTCTTAACCGTGGATGCAAAATCAAATGGCACCTCTGGGTAAATTGTGAGGTGTATTCAAGTAAGTTCTTACTGATACTTGTGCATGTTTGTAACCAATCTCTTCTTTGTACAATAACTCAGAAAAGTTGTCCTTATTATAATATTATCCTGACTCTCATGGCTTCTGAAAACGTTTCCAGAGTAGGAGATACAAGCAGAGCTCCATCAGGACGTTGGCATAATAGATTATTTGAACCAAAGAAAAAATTCTTAAAGATTTGATAAATTGGCCAATTCTCAATTACATAATATGAAGGAATTTTTTTTTTGCCACTATGTTTCATTTTAATTTGTATTATGGAAATAACAAAGCTAGGCTTTGACAAACTTAAAAGTAAATTGTGGGTGTTGAAAGAAATGAATAGCATCTGATCAGGATGTTCCTAAATATAAATATTTTGTCCTATCTCCAGTTTTAAAAATCATTATCAAAAGCCTGTTTTCATAAAAGTAAGGATTAGCAGTGCCATCTAATTAACTCTATGGATTGCACATAGTATACTACAAATTAAAGTCATAGTTATCAAAGATCAAGAAAATTACACAGATCTTTGTTGGTTTCTCAGAATTTATTTTTTTCTCCAAAAGGACTATGATAATGGATTCAGTCTGGAATGAATCTATGTAAGGGCCAAAGTTGTGCTGGCAGTGTGGTTATTATTCTATTTTGCTGTCTTAAGCCATTTAAAAATAGATTTTATGATCAAATCAAGGAGCACCAATGAGTATTTTCTATGGTATGGCGCACATATACCATGCTGATTGCATGGTAAATTGGTTTCAGGCTTCCTAGAGAGCAAAACCAACGTAGGACAAGAATAATTTATTAAAAAAAACATTCATTCCCTTTGACATCATGTATCAGTCAGCTATTGCTACAGAACAAAATGACCCCCAAACTAAGTAGCAGACAAGAAGTCTTTATCACTCTGTCCCAGGTCTGCAGCTCAGCTGGATAGCTCTTCTGCAAGCTGCAGGTCTTCTGATCAGCTCGTGCATCTCTGCTCCAAATGTCTGCCATCCTCCTAGAGCTTGCAGTGACAGAAAGATGAGAGCAAGCCCAGGCACACAAGATCGTTCTAAGCCCTTGTTGGCATCGCGTCTGCTAACATCCCATTAGTCAAAGCAAAGCCCACAGCCACAGCCTCAGTCAAGAGGCATGGTTCACAGAAGGCCATGGCGAGGGTGTGGGTGTGGAACTCTGTCACAATGGAGTGAAGCATTGGGAGGGACCAGCAACCCAGCCTACCACTCATAGAAATCCCGTCTGAGAAAAACATAAACTTCCAGGAACATAACAAAAGAAAAAATATTATTTCCTTTTAATCCAGTGGAACAAACACTTAGAAAACATCTACTCACAAAGCATCATCTGGAAGAGTTAAATATTGAACAAGGTCAAGTCCCTACCTTTAAGGGGCAGGAGACAAATTCCTACTCAACGAATGAAGACACAAGGAAATCTGGGATAAGTTCTAAAATAGAGATGGTAATAAAACGCTGTGGTTGTATCAAGGCAGCAGCAGTGAGCGGTGCGTGGGCAGGTAGGGAAGTTGGAATTCCAGGCAGAACAGCATGAACGAGGTGTGAGCCCTGTGCTCCCCGAACACGGTGAGGCCAAATCGAGGCGGGCATGGCAAGAACAGTCCCACAAGGGTAAGTTCAAAGGCCTCCCATTGGTGGTAGTGGATTGAACATGGGCATGATCTCTACTCCCTCCCCCAAGCCCCACCGAAAATGGCAGCAAAGAATGTTTTTAGATTAAAACTCCACAAAAATAAGGAAGAAAAGAATACAGTGGACAAGATATGTGAACAAATTTTCAGGAGACTGACTAAGCACAGTGGAGCAAGCTAAGAAACCTAAGTGTCTCGGGGGGATGGGAGAGGAAAACAGCTGGTTCATGCAAGAGAACCTCAGAAATCTTAGGAATTGGATGTACCAGATATGGCAGAAGATGGAGGTGAAGGGTAGCGCTACCGAGTCCAAGCTCGTACTGCTCGCCACACGACAGGCCAATAAATGGAGAGGAGAGTTGTTGGGGGAATGCATAGCGACTTTATTCAGAAAGCCAGCAGCCCGAGAAGATGGTGGACTCGTGTCCCAAAGAACCATCTTCCCGAATTAGAATTCGGGCTTCTTTTACAGTAAAAGGGGAGGGAGGGTGGCTGGTTGTTGCAATCCTCTTGGTGCAGGAATCCTTTGTTCTTGCAGCTGTCCAGGTAGGTCTGGTCACAATGCTCCTATAAACCTTCAAGAAGTATTATTCTCCGCCTGCAACTTTTTATCTCTATATGAATGGAAAAGTGTTATGCCTTTAAAGGTCAGAGCCTTGAGAATAGATTCTCCTGTGTATTTCAGGCTATAGGCAACATTCTTTTACAAAAGGTGCAGAGCCTGCACGACTAAGCCCCGGCAACAGAGCACAAAGGTTAGAGCTAAAGGAATAGATTCAATATGGAGTCAGGTTTGTTCTCTGTTACAGTAGAGCTGAAACACAAGAGGGTTGCCTGAGACTCTGCATAGGAGCAGTTAGAATTTCACATCTCCTACCCCACCCTGCACAGTCAGGCAACCACCCAACCCCCATCATGACAGGAGACTGGAAGTTATTCTCCAGCGAAATTGAACAAGACCAAGTTGCCAGGCACAGCCAAGGGTAGAATGATGGCCAGTTGAAGCCGGTGGGAAAGAGAGGCAGCTGCAGGCAGTGGGAGGTGGGCCAGCAAGTCCATCTGGTCCCAGTATGGGCACTGGTAGAAGGGGGATAATCACTTACAGAACGAGGGTCACCATACCTCCCAGTTTACCTGAGACCATCCACGTTTACACCCTTTATCTCAGTGTAAGTGTAGGTGGCACCCACTCTCAAGAGTATCGTGGTTTGTCTGAGAAGGACACAACAAACATCTCATCCTGCCCTGGACGCATAGCCTGAATCTAACCATATAAGGAAACATCCAGACAAACCCAAAATAAGGAACATTATTAATAAAAATAGACGGGAACAATGTTCTTTAAAATGTTAATATCATAAAAGACAAAAAGAGATGTGGAAAGACTCCAGATTAAAGATGTGACATCCAAATGCACTACTGGTCCTAGACTGGATCCTGTGCTGGGGGAGAAAAGATGCTGTAAGATCATCACTAGCTCCTTCGGCAAAATCGGAAGATGGACAATAGATTACACCTGTATCAATGTTAAACTTACTGAAGTTTATGACTAAGCCACTGTTAAGTAAAATAATATCTTTATTCTTAGAAAATAGCCTCTGGGGACTTTCCTGGTGGTTCAGTGGTTAAGAATCTACCTTCCAATGCAGGGGACTTAGGTTCGATCCCTGGTCGGGAAACTAAGATCCCACGTGCCGCAGGGCAGCTAAGCCCCGCGCGCCACAACTACTGAGCCTGTGCGCTCTGGAGCCCATGTGCCACAACTAGAGAGAAGCCCGCGTGCCGCAACAGAAGATTCTGCATGCCGCAACTAAGACCTGATGCAGCCAAATAAATAAGTAAATATTAAAAAAGAAAAAGAAAAGAAAATATCCTCTGAACTATTTAGGGGTAAAATGCATGATGTATGTAACTTACCCTCAAATGATTTTTAAAAATTACGTGTATAAATATATACATAGGGGCTTCCCTGGTGGCGCAGTGGTTGAGAGTCCGCCAGCTGATGCAGGGGACACGGGTTCGTGCCCCGGTCCGGGAAGATCCCACATGCCGCGGAGCGGCTGGGCCCGTGAGCCATGGCCACTGAGCCTGCGCGTCCGGAGCCTGTGATCCGCAACGGGAGAGGCCACAGCAGTGAGAGGCCTGCGTACCGCAAAAAAAAAAAAAAAAAAAAAAAAAAATATATATATATATATATATATACATAAACATAAACATTAAAATGTATGGAAAGAGAAAGAGAAGGAAAATGGGGCATAATAATAACAATAGGTGAATCTGGGTAAAAGGTATGCGGGTGTTGTTTGTACCATCCTTACATAGTTTGAGATTATTTTCAAAAACATTTGTGAAAAGTGTGATCACCTTATACATTAAGCACTTTGCAGTGTAGACATCTAAGAACTATTCCTTGCTTTCCTTTATAGCCGACTAGCTACATAAAAGCAAAGAAAGGGAGAGGGACAGAGGGGAAATGGTTTAGTCAACTGTGCAAAAACAATAGGAGAAAATGGTCTATAACCATTGACCAATTTTAACCATGTGGAATATGTGATGACATAAGTGAAAAAGTTTATAACAAACATGAAGGGAAGCAGATAAAACAAAACACCAGATGCCTAGTGATTATAGTCATATAAAAACATACAGATAATTAGAAATTAGTGTAATATGCCAGGTTTTATGTTCATCACATCTTTTTATTTCCATTTCAAGTTGTTTCAATACATGACACTTTAAAATTT